CCAATCACATCTTCACATCTTTGATTTAAAAACTACTTTGTTTATTTCCAAATTCAAGTCTTTACTATTTTGAAGTTATTGCTTTCTTTAGTTCAACAAACCAAACCCCCCCATTTAATCACTTTAATTTATAATTGTTAATTTCAATTTCTAGTTTGCAATTGATTAAATTGAAACAATCCTCTGCGGGAAATGACCCTTACTTGCCATTTTACTATTTAAGACGACACATTTAAAGCTAAGTAAGGAAATTAGTTGGTACCTCATTTTGAGCATATCATGAAGCCAGGCCATTGTCCTTCCTTTTTTATTACAACTGTTTTAATTTTCTTTAAAAACCATTCCCGTCTCACACGCAACCCTCATTTCTTTCTTCTCTCTCATTTCTTCTCACTCTTTCTCCATTTCACACGCAACAATCATTTCTTTCTTCTCTCCCATTTTTTCTCACTCTTTCTTCATTTCCCAAAACCACCGTTCTTCTTTTTTTTTTCCTGTAAGGTTTCAACTATTCATTGTCTAATGTATGAGATTGAGCAAGAACAAGAAATATTTGTCATTTTCCTTTTTTCGATCTGAAATGTTTGAATGTTTCTGATTATTGAACGCTCTCCAGATGCTCGCAGGGCTTAAGGAGATTCGATTTGATATCGAATGAGTCCCCTCCTATACGTTGCTCGCACGTCGCCACCTCCTGCAAAGTTATTTTAAAGCCCTTTATACAAGCAAGTCCAGGTTCCCCATTTAGCTTGACAAAACATCTTTGTGATCAATAGTTGATTCTGATTAACTTAAGCATTTTATTTGGAATTTTATGTTTCCTCCTATGAATTCTAGCAATTGGGTTTGGTGTGGATGCTTTTTTTTTTGGTAATTGATACCGATTAACTTGACTATTTTATATGCAATTTTCTCTTTCTTTTCATGAAATGTAGCTATTAGGTTTTGTGTGGATACATTTTTGCTATTCGTATTTGATTCTGAATAATTGTACTGCAATTACTCTTAGCAACCTGAATTCTAGCAATTGGATTTTGTGGTCACATTTTTGCGATTAATCATATTAAAAGCAAATCTTAAGAAAATTTCACTAAATTGCAAATCCACGGATAGTATCCTAAATATAAAATCCAAAAATTGCAGATGAGTGAAAAGTTAATGGAGAATTTTAGTATCACAATGTGAATTAGTATCACAAACTTGAGAGATGTCTCTCCGTGCATCAAGGAGAGATATCTCTCCAATTTGAGAATGGAGAGATATCTCTCCTTGCTACATGGAGAGAAATTCTCCATGCAACAAGGAATTCTCCATACAGAAAGGAGAGAAATTCTCCATGCAGTAAGGAGAGATATTTCTCCATTCTCAAAATGGAGAGAATCTCTCCATTCTGTATGAAGAATTTCTTTCCATGCAGCAAGGAGAGATTTCTCTCCATTCTGCACGGAGAGATATGCTGCGCGAAGATGAAGTTTTAATTTTTTTTTCTTTTTTAAGAGAGGTTTGTTTTTAGTTTTTAATGTTGCCTCGAAACATTTAGCAACTTATAAAAAAAATTTATGTAACTAATGTTTGACATAAATATTTTTTTATACGTAAGCTATTATATAGTCAACTACATCATGGCACGTGCTTCTCACTAGTTTATTATAAAAAACACATGTGAAGAAGGAAAAATATTTTCTAAAAAATTCAACCTAATTTGGGTCAAAAAATCGAATAATCTTCACTTTGACACAAATTTCGATGCAATGAACGAAACTCCAAGATTTCTATACTTAAAAAAATAAATCCGACTGCAACGAAAAATTTGAACTCTTCAACAAGAACCAAACTTTCTCCAACACAAAAATACTCCTCCTTTTCCACGGTATCCAACACGGATACATAAACCTAGACACAGGGTTTCCCAAAATTTACAAAGAATTATAAATTATCAAACAGTATCAAAGCACACCTTGTAGCAGAATCAATTCCCAATGATTTCATTAAAGGCCCCTGGCTAGTCTCAACACCTTCAAAAACTCTAAAAGCACGTGCAACCAAAACAGCATCCACGTATCTACTTCCAATTGGTCTATCTCTAGCAATTGAATAAGAGTGGCAAAGAGAAATTACCCATATCCTCCAAACTCGACTGAGTAATATTCTTCAATATAGACCTAAACCAAATTCCAAATGTACAGTACCAAATTGAATCTCCACTATAGTACTAAATATGTGCTGACTTCTCACAAATTCTGTCCAACCTTACAAGATGTATAACTGGGACCTTTTCTGCCTCTCCAATACAACACGAACATCCTTTCGAACCCTCAATACTCCACCTCCTCTAGAGAACGTGCACCCTTTTGAATCAAGAGTACTTAACGAAATGAGATTTTTCTTTAAGTCTGAAATATGTCGAACGTGTTCAAATAATCTACATGTTACATTCACTAGCTTCAATCTGACTCTACCAATACCAATTACCCGACAAGGATCGTTGTTACATATGACAACGACACATTGTGTCACCGTTTCATATGTTTCAAACAAATCTCGATTGAGACACATATGGACATCATAAGCTGTATCCAAAATTCACTCATCTTCAAGTTTGGAGTCCACGTTAGGAATCATCAAACATCTCCATCACTCAAATAGTTCTCGGCTATGTTGGTCTCGTCTGAGGTATTTGATTGCTTTCCATGATTTATAGTCAAAGTACCTTTATTCTGTAATTTGTCGCCATCCCTCTTAATGTGTCCTTTCTTCTTGCAATAATTACAAACCTGATTACTGAAATTTTACCTCGACTTACCTTTTCTCCAATCACCATGAACAACAATGCCTTCTTCATCTCTGACCTCAGATCCAACTAGACGCATCTTCTCTTTTGTAAACAAGGTATCATATGCATCTTCAATGGACATCGATCTAGCTAGATGAATTTAATAAGATCATTTAGTTGATTATGATATTCAACAATCATGAATAAAAAATAATGTGAATCAATGTAAAAGAGATTACTATATTGAATGCTTCTGGCTTACTCAATGACAATCTCAAACAAGTTCTATCTCGCAAAATATTCTCCAACAGTTTTCACCTGGACCGCCTCTTCTGGGCATTGAATTCTCAAGATGTATTTATCATGATGTCTCATCCTTTGATTTTCTGCACAAATTACTTCATCAACGTGATAAAAGTATCTGTGTCAGATAGTTTTTTGTATTCTTGTTAAAACTATACATTGTTGGATGAAATAGAGGTGAATCATGAATAAAAAATAATGTGAATCAATGTAAAAGAGATTACTATATTGAATGCTTCTGGCTTACTCAATGACAATCTCAAACAAGTTCTATCTCGCAAAATATTCTCCAACAGTTTTCACCCGGACCGCCTCTTCTGGGCATTGAATTCTCAAGATATATTTATCATGTGTCTCATCCTTTGATTTTCTGCACAAATTACTTCATCAACGTGATAAAAGTATCTGTGTCAGATAGTTTTTTGTATTCTTGTTAAAACTATACATTTCCAACATAAGCATTCCCAAATTATTATACACACTAAGGCAAAGAATTTGGAATATTCAATGCAGTGATTAAACCAGGGACGGATGGAGGGGGCTGGGTCGGGCAGCCCCCACCCAATGATTTTATTTAGTTAGAAAAAAATTATGTAAAAAAAAAAATCATGTGTAATATTTTTTTTTTTTTTTACGTATTAGCCCGGCCTGTAATCTGGTCCTAGATCCATCCTGGATTAAACCATGCAAAAGTAATGCAATTGATATAAGGCTCCCAAACTGCAAAACCATCAAAGCTTTTATCGATCTTAAAAGCCTGTGAGAGCGAGTTTATTGTTAAGAAGTAAAATAATAAATAAAAATGGAAGAAACCTACATTCCTCAAGTTTACTGCAGATTTTTATTTTTATTTTTTTTCGGGTAAAATCTTCCTATCGATGAACTCCCTTTTTTAGTTAACAGAATGCTCTGCAGGTTGACCATCAAGCTTATATATATTGCATATAACGTATACCACCACTGATGGCATTTTCATATTCGTTAAATGTGATGATCTAACTACTTCTTCGGTTTCACATTAAATAAAATTTAAGAGATGGTAAACATTCTTCAACCACAAGGCAAGAGATGTATTTATATTGAACGCCTTCTTGTTTACACAGTGACAATCTTCCACCTCTACTGGGTATTTGAATTCGTAAATACATGTATAATAATCAATAATTCAATCCTTTTGACTTTCTTCACAAATTATAAATTAACATGATGAAAGGATCAATGATCGCAGACAATATTTTATTCTCATTAGAGTTGAATTTGGGATGTTGAAAGTATCCATGAGACCATCCAAAACTGGTTCAATATATTGATCTAAGGCAGCAGATTTCTCTCTACAACAATGGACAGAAGGTTGATTGAGGCTGCTCAGAAGGGAGACGTTCATCACTTGCTTAGTCTGGTCAAAGATGATCCATTCCTGCTTAAGGCTGTTGCGTTATTAGGTGGAGAAACTCCATTACATATTGCTTGCATGGGAGGCAGCCCTAATTTTGTCAAAGAGATCCTAAATCTGAGGCCAGAATTCACAAAAGATTTGAGCAATGAAGGTTTCAGTCCCCTGCATATTGCTGCAGCTAATGGGGATTTAGAGATCGTAAAAGAGCTCCTGAAAATAGGTGATA